TCGCCCCTGCCCACTGCGGTGATGCTGAATAACTCTATTACACCATCTGTTCTCGTAAATAACGGGGTTCAACCAAGACACTGTTGAAAACTGGTCTCTGGCCAATACAGTTCGTGTGATTGTGGCTGGAGGCTAACACCTTGTCCTCTCCTTGGCACTGTGTGCTGTTGCATCTTCCATGCCTGTGAAACTTGTTTGCTGTTTTGGTGTCAGCAGCCTTCCAGAGGCTTCTTCAGATCTGCTGCTTAGTCCTGATGTTATGGCAAGTTTGGATAGATAGAGATGTGTTAGTGCATGGATGGATCCCAAAGGATGGTTTGATCTGAGTGTCCTGGATACCAGGAAGAATTAAATCTCTCTCTCTAGTTCTAGTGTGCAGAGATGTTGGGGTTTTTTTCCCCTTCAGTTTTAGTGGATATCAAATTATTATGAATTTTTTTCTTGTTACTCCTATTAAATAGCAGATAAAATGTCCCGTGGACAGCAAGTAGTTTTCCATGTTACAGGATGGTCAGATATGTTTGCTTAATACATAACAAGCAAAACAATGGTTGATATGTTGAACATAAATATTTGACTTACATTTTAAATTATTATCTCGGATGCTTCAATTCTTTGACCTCAAAAATGTTTTTTTCCCATTAATTACCATTTAATTGTCTTTTTTTGATAAGGGAGAGTGCTTTGGAGCAGGCAGATGAAGAGGAGGAGCAAAAACTGCTACAAAACAAAACCAAGCAAAAAAAAAAAGCTTTTCCTGCCGTCACCGAAAGTGGTGTTAAGTCAGATACAAAACAACAAAGGGAAAAAAAGGCAGTTGATGAACTGGTAAACAGAAGAACCGTGTTTGTTGGAAACTTGCCTGTCGACTGTACTGCTCAGGTATGTGAGAGCGTTCTGGTGGCTAAAGGGATGAAAAGAATTACCCCAGCCCTTAGTTGAGGGGGAGGGTTCCAGCTGAGAAGTCACACGTATTTGTGCTTAAAATTGATTTTTGGGAAAGCAGGAAATAATGCTTATTATCAGAAACCACGAGAGGGGATCTCTTTTGTTTAGTGTGGCTAGGCTTTTAACAGTGGTGGATGCAGTTGCTGTTTCCGTGGTAGAATTGTTTAGTTTCTTTTTCAGTAAAAAGTACTTAATAAATGAGAACTATAATTACAAAGTCTGATTCCAATTTTGGTTGCAAATAATAACTTCAGATTGTTGCATAAAATATGTTTAAATTTATACTTTCCTTCGTAGCAAGGGGTATGAATTCAGTTTAGGCAATCTGTAAAATAAGAAGCTGCCACAAGAAAAAGCTAGAAATTACTTACCTGTTTTTAGTAGCCCTTTAACGGGCTTTGTATAAGTCAAATGAAAATTGTGTTAAAAATAATCTTGCTAATAAATATTCAACAAGAATTCTATGACCAGGATGCAAAAATGTGTTGAATATTTGTAATATCTTCTGTTTAGGTGCTGAAATCTCGTTTTAAAGAGTATGGACAAATAAAATCCATTCGATTCCGCTCTTTGGTACGTTGTTTCCTCTAATGTTGTGTAACAATTATTTTTTGATCTTAAAGGGTTGTATTCCTGAGGCTGTATCTTCCTTAGTTCAGAAGCGGGTTTGGGGGTGTATTTTTTGCCATTAGAAGAATCCTTGGAGATTATACCACAGAAGCACCACAGATGCATCTTTGCTTTCCCCACATTTTACTCTTCCTGGAGCAGCAGTTGATAGAGTCAGAGCTGTATTCTCTCTGGAGGAAGAATGTCTTTATTATTGCTCGTTTAGCAAAGGTATTACTTACCTGTTTTTAAATCATAGTAGCAGAGACACAGTGATTGCAAATCAGTGTACTCTAACGCAGTTGAAGGTAACAGTCTTGGAACTCTGATGAAGTCAAAGCAAGCTATCTAATTCTGAGGTCTTCCTAGATCATCTCTGGGATGAGCCACTTCCATCCTTTGCTCACAGTACTGGCTGCATTGCTTTGGGTGGGAATGGTACCTGTTTGAATTCCTCGTCTTATTTGAGATAAATTGACTTAGGCCTGCTTCACTGAAACTTTTTATCTTCAAGGTTCCAGCAGAAGATACTTTATCCAAAAAGTTGGCAGCAATAAAGTAAGTTCCTCTTGTGAATTTCTTGCTTTATTTTTCAAGGCAAAAATAGTTTTTAAGTGTTGGTTGTTACACCTGTGGCTATGTTAAATTTTTCATTTTGCGTGTCTGTGACTTTTGTAATTATCTTTGTGTGTATGTAAGTTTTCTTGACCAGTGAAAAAGAATTATGTGCTTGGTACATCAGTAATTCGTTATCTTAGGTTGCATTCCTTATATTTTAGGAAGGAGGAAGATGCTAATAATCTAATTCCTTTGGATATATTTATGAGCTGAGGAAGCTTGGTCAGGGTGCTCATACAGGCTGTATGTCATGTACAGTGGGACTGCCTCAGACATTTAAGAGAAAGGGAGTTGTTTCTGTGCACAGAACAACAGGGGGCATAAATACGTTTAACAAGTGCTTGTGCACTTCACACCATCAGAATTATTTAAACAATATGTGTCTTTTTCATGTTCCAGGCATAAGGTGCACCCTAATGCAAAGTTCGTTAATGCTTACATTGTATATAAGGAAGAATGCGATGCCATTAAGGCTCTGAAGGAGTAAGTCTCAGTTTTGTTCCTCATTCCCTGTTGAAGAGGTTCTGTTTGAATCAGAATAAAATGTTTTTTCAAACTTAAATATTAATTTGCTTTTGGAATAATGCTGTGCAGTGACATTGCAAATGAAGTGACAATTAATTTTATAAACTTCTTGCTTTTGGTTACAACAGAAATGGAACAGAAATTGCTAGTGGATTTCACATCAGAGTTGACATTGCATCAAAAAGCAATTCGGTAAGGAAGAAGCGTGACTAGAAACCCCTTTTCTGGGTGTTTTTTGTTGCTGTAACAAATAGCTCACTGTCTTGTATCTCTTGTTTTCTTTAGCATGACAATAAGCGATCTATATTTGTGGGAAATCTCTCATATGGTAAGTCTGAAATGGATTGTTATGCATCATTACTTAACGTTTATAGAATATGTTGGCATTGGGGGGGAGTATTTGTTGGTATTTCAGGTAGCATGTTTAGGAAGCTAAATAACTTTTGCTGGAATTAATTTTTTTAATAGCAGTTTTATTTTTTAACTGAAACACCTAAAGGGGCTGTCAGTTACTGGCAAGTTCTGCAGGTTAATTGTTTTCTTGATGGTAGCCAGAACTGCAAGCACCCTTAGTTCTTGTTGGTGCTTGATGTTTTTAACATAAGTATGCCTAAACTGCGTAGGCTGTGGTTTCCTAACTGTTTAATGTATACTGATACCTGTTTGTGAACGGCTTCCAAGTGATACGCAGTGGTGGCTTCTCATTCCAATGCTGTCTGTGAGCCACAGGGTGAATAACACTGTCCGGGCAGCTGTTGGCAATCGGTTGTTAGCTGTGTGGAGGGGCTTACTGTACAGCTGAGGTCAGTGTTCAGCTGCTTCTGAGCAGACTGGAGAGTATATGGGATTGCCATCAGGTGTGATCCACAGGAGTGTATTTATGGAGTGAGGGTGCTTGAAATGAGCATCTTACTTGGGGGTGGTGTGGATGTGTAAGTAGGGTGAATGCATGCCCCGTGCCTGTGGCCTGATACAGAACCAATGTCATGTACTGCTGACAGTAGTGCTCAAACAAATGGGCTTTAGACTTCAGCCTAAAACTGGACCTGTCTGAAAATGAGAATAAGTGACAAATTGGCTGTGGCGATGCGTTACGAACGCCTGATATGTAGAGTTTGTGTCAGGTCTGCATGTTCCTCTGGACATCCCGCAGAGCAAACAGTTGGGACATTTGCAGTGCCAAGGAAATAACTTCAGGAGCTTGAGCCTTTCTCAGCACTCCCATTGCTGTGATTAAACCTGTACTACTAAATTCAGCCCCTCCTTGTAGCAGAGACAAGATGACATCTGTGTAAAGGGATTTACCACAGTATGAAGCCTACCTACACAGAAAAGAGAACAACCTGTGGTTTTGTGTTGGTGTGTCATGGTTGTCTGTTCACATAGGCACAAGACTGAGAAAGCCTCATGCATCCGGCCCTTATCAGAATAATCATGTAGCAACTGTGGTTGGAAACTGTAGATCCCTCCTCCCCCGTTCAGCTAAAATTTGCAGCTCTGTCAGTGAGCGTTAGACTTCAGGAACTGCCAGCTCAAGCTCATTATCGTCAGCTTTAACTCTTAGAGATTTCTGGCATCAGAAGGCGCTGCACCGATCTTAATTTCCAATATATTCAAACCATAAATGAAATTAGTTGAAAAATTTGTGTTGATCTTTACCTTCGTTCTTCTTTGTGATTTATGTTGTACTCTTCAAAGCTAGAGAATCTGTGACGTTCAAAGTAAATAACCCTTTGTAAAGTCTGCCTTCTTAACGTGCTCGGATGTTTCTGAGCCACTGGTATTTGTGTACCTATACACATAAATATGTAATGTTTGTGTACCTGAACTGGTAAACATGAAACACTTGGGTTTGGGCCAGGCTCCTAAGGCCGTGTGCCTGATGGAAGAGGCATCTGTTTTGTTGTGTTTGCCTGCAGACATCAGTGATGATGCCGTGCGAGAGCACTTCTCTGCCTGCGGAAGTGTCGTGGCGGTGCGGATTGTGAGGGACAGAAACACCGGCCTGGGGAAGGGCTTCGGCTACGTTCTCTTTGAGGTACGTGTGAGCTGGGTGTTCTCCACAGTCTGGATTCAGGGGTTGCCTTTACGGCTTTTACTTTCTATTTGTATGTGACATTAAATGGTGGTGTGGATGTTAAAAGCAGCTTGGAAGACGAGTTCTGTGGAAGCAGAGACAAAACAAACTGGTTTAGGTTGTGTACGAAGAAAAGCTGTAAAACTTTGGGGTGAAGGAAATGAACTTTAAGGGAAGGATTTAAAGGAATGACAGATGAGTTCTCTTGATATAACTGCAGTGTTCTCCCATTTCTTACATGTCAGAGTATGAGTGGAATTCTTTCCTGAAGCCTTTTTGCTCCCTGGGTCTCTATTTTGTGTCCAGTACAGCTTGCTGTCTCGTGGCAGTCTCCCAGCCTCGCCTTCCTTAGTTTTATTTCCTGCAGCTTGATACCTTTTTCTGCAGTTTCTCCTTCATCTCTCTGCCTTTGCCACCTCACATAAGCTGTTCCACAGCCCACTTTAAAGTACCTGTGCCTCAATGTGTGGGATGTGTGGGTAAGCTGGTGTTTCCGAGCAGAGCTGCTGTGTCATTCAATAACCAGAGCTGCTTGGGTGCTCCTTATTGTAAAAAACCTGCTTCCGAAAATTAGAGGCAGGCAACTGTTTATTTGGAAGCCATCGGCTGGACGTAACGCAGCTTTCAAACTGAACGTCCGTTCTTGTAGGACACGGATGCTGTGCATCTTGCTCAGAGGCTCAACGGGACCGACCTCATGGGCAGAAAGGTCCGGGTGCAGCGCTGTGGAGAGAAGGGGAAAGTGCCACGGAGAGCTCCAGGCCAGCCCCGCGCTCCGAAGGGCGGCACTGGCGCCACCTCAGCGGCCAAGCACCGCGCCGACGATTCGTTTGTGGGGGAGACGGCCACGCCGCCCAGGAGGAGGGCTAAGCCAAAGAGACTGAGGACTGCCCCTGGAAGTAAAGCGGGGAAGAAGAGCAAACGCGCTCTTGATAAAACCCGAACGTAC